CCTGCAACCATGCAATAACCATACACGACTGTACAGTACATACATGTACAGTACATATGCACACAGGGATGTCACTGACTCCACGGAGGCCATTCGACTACAGAATTAGAATCAATAAAAAATGTCTTCTGTTCAAGTGAATGCCTGCAATGCCCAGCGTCCACTGTATTCATTATCATGCCTCTCAGGTTGCTGCAGCTCTAAGTGCCACACTGGTTGGTGTGAGCGTGAGGAATGCAGTTGTCACTATGTTGTTTATCTCTTATCTCTTCCTGTGTCCACATTGAACAGTTCTTCGATTATGAACGCAGAACTTTAAATGATAAGTTGATCAATCCTGTAGATCCAATAATAATGTCAGACATGCACTGATTCCAGCTTCTCTCATGAGATACTGCAGTAAACTGAATATCTCCAGGCTTTAGACTGTGAGACAAAACAACAATTTATAGACTATTTACTAGTTTTGGACATTTTTAGATCAAACAATAAGCAATTAATTGATAGTGAAAATCATTGTCAGTACACCACAATATGGGTGGATACAAAGTAGCGAACAAACTTCTGTTGCTAAGATGGCTGTCCATATTAGGTACCTTCATCAGTAACTGGGGGCCACTGCCTAACATCATAAAACTACCCATGCTGCTGTCACAAACAGGCCTTTTCCACCAACATGGAACCAGCTCTGTTCCAGTTCTCGCACCTAGTTTTGAACCTTTTTGAGCATTTCAACCATAAATAAATTGGTTCCAAAACCAAAAAGTTGGTTCCCAACTGGAACCAAAGTGGGAGTGTCATATTCTACAGGTTGTTGTGCATTGTACAACGCCCTCTGTTGATGCTGCATCCCTGATTATAATGGTTTAACTAAAAACTGGTGGAAACGCAGGCTGGTTCACTAGATTTACAGTTCCAACAATCTTGAAAGAAAGAACCAGAGCGAGAGAACAACAACAACAACAAAGGGGTTTAGTGGCAGTAGCTGGGCTCAAAGCAATGAACTGATTTTGTAAGCTTTGTTTTAAGCTTTGAGTTCACAACAGGTCATATTTCCAAAAACATGGGCAGATTTGCATGTCATTTGGTGGACACGTGGGACTGTTGGACACACTAACAGTTAAATGGAGTTAATGGTGACAACATGAGCACATATACTGTAAAGACACCAGATTCATATTTCTAATCTTATTTTCTGATGACTGAGAAATAAATCCAGCCTTAGATTTGTGTCATTTAAGTTGAATGACGTCTTTCGGGGGTTATAACAACAGAGGGGAGACATGTTCAGCTTTGGCTGAAGTGTCATTCCAGTGTAACTTTATTTATCCATGAGAGATATGCAAAGAATGCTACAGTCGCTCTTTTTCCAGAACACACTGCTTCACACTCATACAGTTACACACATTCCAACATGGGAGCTGCCCCCTGCAACCAACGACGACGCTGAGGGACCAGAGAATGTTAGTCAGATACATCTAGTACAACTAGTTTTACATTAGTTAGTTTAACTAATTACAAGTTACATTTAACAGAAAGTACATTAGATTTACATTCTTCTAGTTTATATTTGCAGGTAAAACAAATGTTCCAAAAAATCCAGCTAATATCTGTTTAAAACCTGCTTAACTACCATTAAACTGCTGCTTAGGTCAAGCGGTAAGCCAATCATGAGCTAGCATATACTGCATACTGTATATCACATATCACCAGGTTAAGGAGGGGTAATGAACATCTGCCTCACTGAGTGGATTTAAGTTAATGAGAAAATTAGCTAATCGAAAACGTCAATTTCTTACGTCAGTCTCTCTCCTCTTCATTTAATTTTTACTTCCTATGTTCTGCCCTTTATTAAGTTATTCACCTTTTACCACAAAAACAAACACACACACACAGAGCATGCGCCACTGTCCAAGGTCAGGTGCTTCCATTCACATCACTGTGAATCCAGTGTATACACACAACATTGTATGTACAGGACAAATAATCAACAGGAATTTATAAATGTACAATCAGAGTGAAGAATGCCAGCACACACACAGGCGTATACACACACACATCCAGACACACACACACACACACTGCCGCAGAGTGGTGCAGCAGAGTTGCCACTGCGACCCGTCCCATCAACGACCCCCCCACCGCCACCACCACCTCCAACCTATAATGTCCCATCTCATCCGATAATTTCCCATCTCAGGATCCGGTACAACATCACTAAATCCTATAAATTCCCCAATCTTGTTAGCATTAATGTAATGTAGCAGGAGAGAGGAGGTTAAGTCTGTGTACAGTCAGAGAGCTACAATAACTTCCCAATAAAAGTACAGACAGTAAAGACTTACTTCTGCCAAATAGTCTGCTGCCTCCTCCACTGCCATGTTTCTCAGCCCTGCAGCTGAAAGTGTGAAACCTGAGCATTCAATTACTGTAGCAGCTAGCCCTATAGCCTGAAAGCTAGGGAGGGAGGGATGGGGGCAAGAGAGGAGAGGAGAGGGGGAGGGACGGTCTGTGTGTGAGAGGGAGGGAGAGAGAGAGA